TGCTTATAATAATAAGGGTTAATAATTATGATATTGTAATAGGTAGTTCATTACATAATCTTCAAAAATATAATGAAGCAATAGTTTGTTATGATACGGCAATTCATCTGGATCCTAAATATGCAATTGCTTATTATAATAAGGGTTAAGAATTATTTTATTGTAATAGGTAGTTCATTAGATGATCTTGGAAAATATAATGAAGCACTAGTTTGTTATGATGAGGCAATCAAACTGGATCCTAATTATGCAATTGCTTATGATAAAAAGGGTGAATAATTACGTTATTTTAATAGGTGCTTTATTATCTTATATGAAGAAGTATTAATAAGCCATAGTGAATTATGAACAAGCACTTTATTATTTCCAAAAAAATAATGACCAAAACAAATATTCAAATTTAATTATGGAATTAAGAAATAAGTAATGAATATTAATAAAATATCATTCATAAAATATTAATATGAGTTATTTTATCTACATTTAAAGAATACTTTAATTTTGATGCTATTTTTATTATAATAGTAGAATGGCTTTCTTTTTAAAAAGATAACGATATTAATTACATAAGTAGTAAAAATAAATATATTATTTTCCTTTCTATTTTAATTTAGAAAAAAATTTATCTCTAGTTGTCAGCTTCGCATTTACTAAGTTCATTATTATTCCCCATAAGGATTAGTTGAAACAGATCGAATCTCATATCAAATCAAATATTAGATGCATTTTTTAATTAATTACTTTAATTTAATATAGCAAAGTCGACCAATTAGTTATTTAAGGTTAATAAATGAAAATTTTTTTATTAAAATAGAGTCCAATTTAATAAGATAGCAAATTAATTAATAAAATATAACCTATTAAACTTAATAAATTATGGAAATCTGCTAATGTAAAAGGCATCCCATGCTGAGAAAAGAAACTTAATTAAAATAAAATTAATAATAAGGAAAAAATAAATCCAAAACTTTTTAAAAATAATTAATATCACTTTCTTGAAAAGAAGCCTTAATTCTATTATTAATGATGTATTCGAATAAATTAGATAAGGATAATTAAGTTATGAAATAATCGGGGTTTTATCAAATTAACTTTGAAATAATTTAATGGAATTAATCTAAATAATCTTGAAAAAGCTTTGATATATTCATTCATTTTTATCAATTATTACAGCAGATTTCTAAAGTAGGATGAAGTATTGTCTATGATTAAAATTTGAATTGTAAAAGAAATTTTAAGAATTGAAGAAATTTATTTATTTACAAGTCCTTTTTTGTAATCAGACATGAATAATATTCAATAATTATATATAATTCGATAATGTTGTTGAAATTTGAAAATCTGAACATTTCTAAAGTTAAGTATTTCATAAATATCTTTCTTTATTTAATACGCCCTTAAAAGAATTATCTGAACATATCCCAATAAATATTTAAATAATATTCCAATATATATTACTATATCGATCTTCTTTAGTGTTCTTAACAGATATTTGCCTTTGAATGAATAGTTACATAGATCCTTAAGGTATTCCTGTATTCACATTCTTCTCCATGATAAGTTCTATAAAGTTATTGAGAGAACTATTTGAATTCCTAAAAAGTTGATTTAGTAGGGTTTTTTTCAATTTATACAATTTTAGTTTATCAGATTTCTTATTTGTTGCTGTTACTGCAGGTTATACATAGATTAAGACAGAATTGATAAAGATTTTCCAACTATTGATTTAATTTTGTAATGGTATTTTTCTACTTATCATTTAAGTTTTTTAAATATTTTATGATTAATATTCCTAAATAATTGTATTTTTAAGTTATTGGATATTCCAGAAGATTTTCATATTACTTAGTTAATAAACTGTGAAAAATGATTAGGCATGATATCTTCAAATTCACTAATAAGGACTACTTTATAAGATAAAAAAGTAATTTAAGAGAAAAAATAGAAACATTTTCATAAAATACTATTTTTAAAATAAAAGCACTCAAATGGTTTATTAAATAGTTCAAAAAAGAATAAGATTATTATAACTTTTATAAAAATGATGAAAAATGTTTTTTGAGCTATCTTAAAAAGAATGAAAGTTAATATATGAAGATTATGAAATCTTAATTTTATTAAATTTTGCTGATAAAAATGATAATGGCTTAAGCTTAGATATATACACATTTTTTAAAAAGAAGCAATTATTGAAAATTATTGTCTTAATTGATATTGATGTTAGTCAGCCTTGAAGCACTTATTATTATTAACATATTATTTATTGAACTTAAGGATGACAATGAAGCTATTCTAAATAATAATATATTTAGATGTTTATATGATGTTTATGATAAATATGAACATATTTTTAGATAAAGATGAAGATTATTTTTAATTAATATATCACTCTTCCTATAATGATTATTCTCAAAAAAAGCAATTAAACTAGAACAAGTCCCTCATGACTGGAATATAATAAAAATTATATCTTAATAATTTTTCACATTTAATACTGTAGTATACAGAAGTCTAATACAATAAAAGTTGATAAATGTAATTTAATCATCCTATATTATTTAGAGATTTGTGTAAAATTTATTTTGCATTTTCTTTAGCTCCTGATTACACATAAAATTAAAATATATATATAGGTTATTTATTTAAAGAGAAGGAATCAATTACTTGAATTCTCAAATTTAATAAGATTTTTTATTATAAAAGATAGACAATAATTAGTTTGATGATTTAATTTGAAAGTATGGAAATATATTAATAATAAAAAATTAAGAATTTTCATAACAATAATTTTGGAGATTGAAAAACTCAAAATAAAATAAGGATAAAGAGTTGATTTATGATCTATGATATTATTATATTTATTTTCTAAAAAGTAAATGAATAATTACATTAGTATTAA